ACAAAGACGCTTCGCGCGAACAAATTCGTCAGGAGTGGAAAACGCCCTTTACACGAGTTTTCAAGCGCATCAAGTAAGAATATACGGCCCTAACCTTGATAGTCAATATAGCAGGTTTAACTCGATGATGATCGAGGGGAGAACTCCCCTGTATTTGCATTTTCATTGTATTGTTTTTGTTGGGGGTCGGTTGTCAATTGGGAATTGTTTCCTGTTACCTTCTCCTGTCACTGTTTCTGTAAATACTGTATGTAATTGTCCTTTGTTGTAATTGTGACAAATTCATTAAATTAAATTAAAAATTTCCCATGGACCAACTCAACAAAAGCCATGGCGGCCATGTTGTTGTTCCAGACAAAAAAGTCTAATTAAAATTTTTTTGACTGGACAACTTGCATGTTAGACTAAATTTTAATCTAAGTAAAGAGAAGGAAATCAAACATCACAGCTAAAAAAAACATAATGAAATTAGCAAAATTGCAAAATTTGGTTGCGAAATGTTATAAAAATACGGAAAATATATTATATAGTCTTGGAAAGTTCGCACATTTTGTATGTGTTTCAGTATAACGTGCGGAAAATGTTACCATTTTCGACTCAAAAATGGTAACAATTTCCGTACGTCATACAAAAATATGCAAACTTATTCGCAAGGCTATAATCGCTATATTTTCCGTATTTTCAACATTTCGTAACCAAATGTTGCAATTTTACTAATTTTATTACGTTCTTTACGGGAATTTACTTTTTTGCCTAGATCAAAAATTAGTCACTAACATGCAAGTTGTCTATTGGAACACCAACTTGGCGGCTGTGACGTCATGTGCAAACGCTCTATTTGCTCAGTGTATTAAAGCTGAACTAACCTTCGTTACTAGTTATGGTTTTATACAGTCTACCATCCCTGTACGTCAAGTTCCCACATTGACAAGACGTGTGATTATGAACGGCATATTTATAAAACTTCTTTTTATCGCTAGAATCTTTGTTCGTTATATCCGGAACCACTATCTCAATTTCGTTCGTTGTTTTTGGAACCGGGTACGTAGACGGTCCACTGCTAGAGCATTCGCCAAAGTCAAGTTTAACACAGCGATAAACTTCGATGAAATATTGAGGTCTGGATGGTGGGGTGGTAAAGTCGTCATTGTATATTGAAATCACTTCTCTTTGTGGTACTAAAACAAAAGAATCAGGTATTGGTAGGTTTGAGTAAACTATATTTCTTTATTTTCAAAAAATATATGTAAAAATTACCTGTTATTTCTAGACTAGATTCTGCAACTGCTAGCATGCTGAACAATAGTAAAATGTTCGGCCCAACGTTTTTGGAGTCTAAAATCTTGATATCTAAAGAACATGGAAAAAAATATTAATTTTATCCAATCTTCCAATTTATCAATTCAGCGCTACGAGATGATCAAAACTTGTATCCTGTATTATGATTTGATTTAAACGTTATCAAACATTACTGCACAATCACTCAGCATGCCGATATTAAACAACCAATATCGTAAAATTATTACCTTATCTGTCTAACTGTTAAATGCTAATATATTTATTGACACAAAATTCAACTGCTTGCATGCATGACTACTATTCTACTATATACTATACTACTATATATTATACTAGTATATACTATACTGGTAGATACTGTACTAGTATATGATTGAAAACAATCAGGATTATACCATCATTTAAAACACGCTATTTCGTACACAGGGGGATCAAAACGCTGCAATTTATGTTTGGAAGAAAAATTTTTCATTTTGAAAGACATAAACAAAGACAATTTACTCAATAAAAGAAGCGAAATTTTCGGCAAATGTCGTCACAAAAACCGGTTTCGAGTAAACAAGGTCGTTAACAAAACCTAATGACCCAAGCATGCATTGTTTCACCTAAGCATTGTTTCGCCTACACGCATTCCGCACATTCTTTCGATAGCATAAAAGCAACCTACAATTTCGAAATTATTCACCACCTGATGATTCCTATACGGATGAAACAGACTGTTGTGGTTTTTTGAGGTAAAACGAAAAACTATATTACGCTCTATCTATATGGTATTGAGCACTGTTTGTGTTTCGTAAACCAAAATCTTAAACTATATATATATATATATATATATATATATATATATATATATATATATATATATATATATATATATATATATATATATATATATATATATATATATATATATATATATATATATATATATATATAGATAAAGATAAAATAAACCTGGTTTACTTCATAAGATTTATTCACTACAAACTTGTTTCGTATGACAAGCAATGCTTGCCACACTCATCAGGTGAATTTAAAATTTAAATGAGTGTGGCAAGCATTGCTTGTCATACGAAACAAGTTTGTAGTGAATAAATCTTATGAAGTAAACCAGGTTTATTTTATCTTTATCTATATTAGCTCTATACTTCGGTATATCGAGCACTCTACTCATATATGATTCTAAATACATATTTGGTACACGGTTATATATATATAGGTATATATATATATATACGCAGAGTAATTGAGATACAATAGCGCGCTGAAGTTCGATTTCCTTTTTTTTATACACCCTGTATATATATATATATGTATATATATATATATATATATATATATATATATATATATATATATATATATATATATATATATATATATATATATATATATATATATATATATATATATATATATATATATATATATATATATAATATTATAGAGACCAAGGATGATCAGCCTCGGAATTTTAAAAAAAAAGTTCATTTTTTTTCCAACCTCGGGATTTTCAAAAAATTTTCATTTTTTTTCTTTCTATATATATATACATATATATATGTATAAATATATATAGTATATATTTAACAGTTATTCTACGAACTCGAGTCGAATATGAGCTGATAGCCGATGAGGCGCGTAGCGCCGAATCGGCTATCGCTCATATTCGACGAGAGTGAGTGGAATAACTGTTTTATTATATACACAAGGTCTGAATTCACAGACTTTGCTTTTCGAATATTTTCAATATTTTTCTCTTTTGTTTATGTTTTTATCTTCGCTCTTTCGGCCGATTATTTTTTCAAAAATATATATTTTTAACCATTTAAAATTTTTAAAATGTATTTGCTAACCTGAAAACAATTTGTGGGAGTTTTTTCATTGTGTTTTTAATCTTGTAAAGGCTATAAAAAGCGACAACTTGCCGTTTTCTCGTTTGCAAAACATCGTAAATTCAGTTTGGCCGCCATTTTGTTTTTCTCTACTAGCAGGATATGAGCTAATATCCTGCTAGGAGAGAACCAATCAAATTGCAGAATACCTCATATCCAGACCTTGTGTATATAATAATACCTATATAGCTATCAAATGTAGATCCAAAAAGGTAAGGTACGACCGGGACTTTTATAAAACGGTCCCATGCAGAGCATCCACCTGCAAAATAGTAATTATGATAAGTAATTGAACATCGCGAACTCAGACTCGCTAGAGGATTCTCAGCAAGCAAAAAAAAACCCTGAATAGTTAGTCAGTTAAATATCATGAAATAAATGGCTAAATGGTGTTTTACATAGGTAGGTATAATCCTCCCACAACTCCAAATTTCATGAATTAAACTCGATAGTGAATACGACATACAAGGTTTTACTTTATTAAATCATTATGCATTTGTGACTAAATTCCGGATATTTGCATACCAAACAAACAGCTGAAATGTTTGAAAACAAAGCTCGAAAACAAAGTGAGCAAACGAAAATGTTTAAAATTATATCATTTCAGAAGTTCTTAAGAATGAGGTGCACTTTAGTCTTTCTATCGGATTGAGATGTCGTCCTGATTTACATAAATTTAGATTTTCTCGGCTATAAAAGGTCCATATCGCCAAACTATAATTGGTAAACTTATTACTTGTATTTATTTGTAACACCTACTGCTCGTGCTTCATTCATTTCTTAAACAATTCTCATTCTCACACCGTCCTCGAGGTGGGATCCTGAGGAACGCTTTTCCTAGCAAGAAGATTGAGGAACATTTATCATTATTGAGATGGACTTGTGGGCAAATCTAATCTGTCATTTGAGATAGGTCTTAAATACAGTGAAGTACACTTTGTTGTTGCATACAGGATGGCGTAATGTGCAGACTTGAGGTACCCCATTGCCACTGGCTTGTGGGGCTGTGTCTACTTTCGAAGAGAGAATATGCATCTTAAAAATATATGTTTCAGTGATATGAACGAACGGTGAACTCATCTCAAATCTCAATGAATGAAATTAGAATCAAGATACATGAAAAAAAATTTTAAAAGTAAGTTAAATTTACACTCACCCATATTTGCATGTAAACTGTAATGACTTGAAAATTTTTCCTTGTCTTCTTTCGTCCACGTCAAGATGCAACTGATTTTCCAACTTACAGGCATCGAATTTATATGCTCCGTTTAAGTGGAATATTTTCGAAATCTTGTGAATAAATTTCATAAAAACACATTTGCATTGTCCTTAATTGGGACATCGCATTAACTTAAAGGGCTTTCCCCTGTTTTACGTCATTATCTAAGAAAAGTCTATTGCCTATTGGACGCCGCTATACGTTTGAGATATCACTTTACTAACGTTCGAATCGGATGAATAATTTCATGACAATTTTCTAAAACTATATTCTGCATGGTTTGTGTATATTGACGATAATAAAAAAATACAACTATCTACCAAAGTCGAAACCAATAAGGTCGAAGGAAAAGAATTAAATTAATAATTTATTTGATTAATTATTAATTGTGCACCGTCATATGTAATACAGGAAGTACTACTACTGTACACTCTCACTGCAAAACATATTCTGAGCCAAATCCATGCATTAACAATATTGAGTAAACTGATGAATGCATCCATACTTAATCCCACAGTGACATAAAATAGCGAGTAAAACTACTCATAAAATGTGAGTGACATTTTCTTAAATGTTTGAGTTAATTTACTCAAAAAACTGAGTTGAAAATACTCAAGTTATGCACATTTACATTTACTCGCGGCATGAGTAAGCAATAAATTATTCAAGCTTTGAGTAAATGTACTTAAAACGTAAGTATTTTTACTCGAAAGCTGAGTATTTTTACTCAAAAAAATAAAAAGCACCCATAGTGACTCCTTATTTTGAGTAAATGTACAGTTTACTCTGTAAACTTTGACTAAATCTACTAAAAACATGCTTCAGTCACACACGTAAAAACGCACAAGTAGTAACAAACTGCAGCAGACTTGTAGCAGTACTGTTTCAACAACATGTCAACAGGATGTGTTCGCACTGCTTGTTCCCAGCTTGTTGACAAGTTGTCAACGGTTTGTTGACAACTTGCTACACTCTTGTTGAGCTCAACAGACTTGCTACAAGTTGTTTCAACAACTTGTTATCACCCCGCAATTCAGACATTTGTCAACAAGTTGTGAGTGACAATCTTGTAGCAACTTGATAAAATAACAACATTGTTTCAACTTGTTGACAAGCTTGCTACAAGCCTGTTGCGAATACATCTTGTTGACAAGTTGTGAGATTTTTACGTGTGCACTCTATGAACACGTCACTCAAACGGTCAAACATTGAGTAGAGTAGCAGACGAGAGTATGGGAAGTACTATACATTGACATACTCCTCTAAAAGATTACGATTATTATAAAGACTGCTTGCTTTTAGTTGAGAAAAGCAAGTTTATACATGCCCATGCATATAGCAATAATAGCATTATAAATTAAGGGGTTAATGAAACAAGCGTTCGGACAAAAGTAAAGTCTCTATCCTGGAGTACAAAGGTCTGGTGCAAAGGTCAATCTGTCAACGGTGTGCATGATCATAAACATGCAAAGCGCAAGGCTGAATTAACATATATTCTGGTTTACGGGTACACACGCAAAAATCTCACATCTTGTAGCAAGTCTGCCAACAAGTTGTCTTCGCACTGCTTGTCCCAAGTTGTCAGTAACAACTTGTAACAACCGGCCTTGTTGATATTATCAGGTTTGTTACAAGGTTGTTCCAACAAGTCCGATACAGTCATGATATATTGTTATGAGTAAGGGAATCTTTTCCGGATCTCCGACATTTTGTTTTTGTAAAAAAATCAAGGAGGACTCGGCCACCGACACAGTAAAATGCTGGGTTTTGCTTCCCTGGTTTCGCCGCATTTGCAACTGCCGTCCAAACGGCTGCATGGGTACTTGAAATAATCGCTTGAGATTCTATTGAAGCTAAGTCTATAGACTGTAAGTCATTTGT